GGACAAGCGAGTCATAGGCAGAGTCATAGTGACTTGTCCCCTGAACCTTCACCCAGGCAATACCCAGTTCTGATGATATCTGTATTCCCCCTGAACACCCACACTCCAGTGTCATCCCCTTCCCCACATCCTGCCTTTCTGTGTTTATAACCCCTGTGTCAATGAATTACGATTTGAGAAAAAAAAAAGAAAAGAAAAGTCTGTGTGGTATTGTCTTGATTAATGATAGATATGGGAATGAATGTTCAATGTAGACAGTGCTAAGCCTGGGCAGGTGGTCATAGGTGGTACAAGAAATGATGCTGAACAAACTGTGGGGAATATTCCAGTTATCAGCACTCCTTCCTGGTTTCTACTTTCAGTTCAGTACCTGACCTCTTTGAATTCTTGCCATGGATTCCCTTCATGATATACTTCAATGTAGAATTCTAAACTGATCTAAACCCTTTCCTCCTGAATTAGCTTTTGGTCATGATGTTCATCACAACCATAAAAAGCAATTGAAGGCAGCGTTCAAGAATTACTACATTGTTCCTTTAACCATTTATTAAGAAAATCTTTTTAAAGTGAAAGGCTATCTTAGAAGCATAAAAAAGAATGAACAGGAACGTTTTTATCTTTCTCTTTATTGAGTCTTAGGGACAATCTTCCCATTCAGATTTTTTTTCAATAAAGAAAACAGAGCTTTGTTAGATTTCTGCTAGCTTTGAAGGAAAATCTGTCTCCTCTCACCATTCCCATAGACATCTATATTCTATAGCCAAAGCAACGGGGAGTCAAAGTTCACAGAGGACTCCAACTAGTTTAACAAAAATAGACTCAGACTTTAAAAAAAAAGATTTATTTATTTTGTGTATTTGCATACACTGTAGCTTTCTTTAGACACACCAGAAGAGGGAATCAGATTCTATTTCAAATGTTTGTGAGCCACCGTCTGTAATACTGGGAATTGAATTCAGGACCTCTAGAAGAGTGGTCAGTGCTCTTAACAGTTAAGCCATCTCTCCAGTGCTAGACGTAGCCTTATAATACCTCAGTATTTAATACCTCATCTGTTCATTGGTCTTCATTTTGAAATGGTCACTAGGAACTATGGCTGTTGGTCTGAGCTACTCAGAAAAGTCAGGAAGTTGGTGTACCCTCATCACATGAGATACAAATGCTAATTAGTTCATACTCAAATCTTTGATGGGTCATTTTGAACTGAATAGTACTTTGCAATTTTGTCAACTACACATTGTGTAGAAGAACAGTTATTGAAAGGAAACCATGATACCAGATGATCGAAATAATATTATATAATCATCTTAAATATTGAATAATTTACTTCCAAAAGACAAATTAACTGAAACAAAAGAGAGCTAGAATATACAATTTTAAATGATGAAATAAGCTCTTATTTACAAATCTATCTGTTTAAAAACCTGATTTATATTGTGAAGTGTGCATTTTGAACTTAATTCTCAGATAAAACGGTTAACATTATTTAGAATGTTAGGAAGCAAATGTATTCTACTTCCCTTCCCAAGAGGTTTGCTTGGAAACTTCTTACTGTACAATTTCTATTAGTTCTCTGAATGTTTCATGAAAATAATGATCTTCTGCAGCCTAGACGTTATTTCTTGATCCAGTTGCCCTTAAAGTTTATGCTCCTCTATTTCTTCAGCTTCTATAAACTGCATGAGAATACATGAAACTGTGTGCAAACTATTCTGTTGAAATGTTTACTTAATCACTGAGTATATGTTTTCCTAACTATTATCAGAGATGTTAGAATAATACTTTGCAAAACAATAATCCTAAGAAGCTAGGTTCAAGGAATTGCCCTCAATGTGTGATACTTAAGGAATATAAAATAATGGACAAGATAGATGGCTCAGCAGTTAAAATATGTACAATTTTTGCAGGGGACAATAGTTTGGTTCCCAGATCTGTATTAGGTAGCTCATGACTGTAAATTTCTGTCCAGGGAAATCAGATATCAACAAGTCTAGAATTTGTGTGCACTTGTACTCATGTGCACAAACCCTCCTCACATACAAATTAACATGATTTATGAAATCTTTCTAGGTTTACATTACTTCACTCAAGAAGATTTTTCGTACTTCAATTCATTTGTCTTCAAATTTCATGATGTCATTCATTTAAGCTGAGTAATACTCCATTGTGTAAATGTACCACAATTTCTTTATCCATCTTTGACTGCAAGACTTTCTACACTCTTTCCAGTTTCTGGCTATTATGAATAAAGCTGTTAGGAACATAACTGAACAAATGTCTTTTTGGAAAGATGGAGTATCCTTCAGATATATGCCTAATAGTAGTATAACTGGATCATGAGGTAGGTTGGTTCTCTTTTCTGAGGAAGCAGTATATTGATTTCTACCGTTGTTGTAAACATTTATATCAGCAATAGCTTTAGGAATAGCTTCTGCTCCAGTTTTTGAGAGATCAGCATAAAGATCTAAAAACCAAAATGCATATTTCCTACATAAGTGATAGAAGAAGTTTTTGTATTCCCTCTTGTTAATAACAATATATAGCTTTATATAGCATAAGGAACATTTGTATTAACACCTTTTTAATAAAAATTCTACACAATAGTTTTATTATAATTAAATAGATCAGACGGGGTGAAAATGCGCATGGAGTAGGGCCCCTTTTTTGCTGAAAAAAAGTAACAGCTACAAGAAGCAAACAACATTCACACAGAGATTTTATATCATGCCCAAGGTTTAGCGAAAAGGTTGCCCGGAATCATAGACATGAATAAAAGCTGGGATTTCAGTATTATTTGTGCTTACATCTTTGATGAAGAAACTAGAGGCACAGCAGGTATAAAGAAGAAACAACTTATATATTCAGAACTTGAATCTTCTGATATCAAGGCAAGAACCTACATTACTCTGAACCTCCCTGCAGGAGACATTGGCTCTTTTTGACACAGAGAGATGGAAGGTAGAATTTATATTGGCAACACTTCTCTGATGTCTGAGATTGGAAACAAAAGAGTCACTGCTGTAACCTGTATCACATCTATTATACTGCATAAAAGCAGGGGTTGATATTATAATGAGATTTAGATGCTGTCCTTGTAGTGCTGTGTTTGAATGATGGTGGATTCAACATTGAGTTTACAAAGACTTACAATACAGTCTAAAATTTCCCTCACCTGGGGTCCAAAATAACTGGAGAGAGATGAGTTGACCTGGAACATAAATGTTCAGTTGAGGTTCTATCTGAGGCAGATCTTACCCAGAGTTATGGTCTGAGTGTTAATATGGGTTTCAGCCAACACTAGGGTTACCATGCAAAGTAGCGATGACAAATTCCAAGGAGCAAAGAATTTTTTTTCTTACACTAAAGCCACACAACCACAGATGTTCTGTGTAAAATCCCTTGACTAAGACATGTTAGAATGTATCATTCTCGTAGAAATTAGTCCATAGGTCATCCCACTTTGCATATCAACAAAGTACAGATGGATAGGGAAATTTATGCATGCATTTCTGTCTCCCTACATCTATTGTACATATGTTCAGATATTTTCTTTAATGCTTGGTAAGATCAAAGTGTCAGAATAAATGATGTAAAGTTTACATGGCTAACCTGCTTTTTTCACTGACTGATAATCCTACTTGAGGTCCTTGACTGTGTCTCATTGTCTGGAAGGATCAAGAGAGGTCAGTACTTTAAAAAAAACATAGTGATGTGTATTCACAAAGGGACATAACTGGTCAAAGAAAAATATCCAGACAGATACCTTAGGGCATGATGCAATGTCCAAAGAAAGAACCACCTACCTTCTCACACTGACTCACAAGAGGTCATCAAAGAAACTACTTTTTGCCTTGATCTGTGGGAATTGTATCCTTCATTTTCCTTTACATTCAACTTTCAACTTTTGCTTGCAGATAGCTTTATTTGGTTAAGGATTGTTCCAATCTAAACAGTGGACAGAATTTGGAATGTGTTCTCAGGTCCTTTACAGCATTCCCTTAAATACGCCAATTGATGCATAGCAGTTGAACTATTCTAATCGTTTTTGTTTTTCTTGTCCTTGTTTCTTGACAGCAGATTTGTTGATGCTGTTTAAATAAAACAATTGTGACCAATAATGACAGTCTAATTGTTATTGTTCAGCCTGAGGTCAAACAAGGTGGGCCAGAGATTTGAGCTCATTTGCTATGTCAGCTTCTTTACTCCCTCAATTGTTTCTTCAGTTTTTGAGGGCAGAGATTGTTTGACTGTTTAAAATGAAAATCGAAGCATATCACTTTTCCTCTGTCCATATACAAGTATGGGCAATATACATATACATATACATACACATATACATATACATATACATACACATATACATATATACACACACACACACACACATATATATACATATATATATATATATATATATTATATGCATAGTATTACTTGTAGTCTGAATTCTATACATGAGAGAAAAACTGTATGGCATACTTCTTTCTCATGCCCCTTTGCCTAAGATGAGCACTTCAAACTATGTCACTTTTTTCCTGCATATATAAATTGGTTCTTGTTTACACATTAAGAAATTTCCTCTGTGTATATATACTAATGCTATCTATCTACGTAAAGATGGTAGAAACCTAGGGGTATTTTGTAAGGTGGATATTGTAAAACAGGCCATACTTAATGTGCACATAAGTGATGCTCTAAACATTGATTTAAATATGTTTGTATCATATGGTAGTGGTGTTTTGGTTTCTAAAGCAACGTTTGCATTATATATAGTAGAGGCTACACTAACTATTTTGATATGATGGAAAAGAAATTGAGGCTTTTTATGACTGAAGATGGAGAGGAAGAACGATTCCTAGGGTATAGAGAGGACTGTTTAGCCTCTTCTACCAAAACAAAGGACTCCCCATGAGCTTTGACAAAAGTACTGTGGAACCTGAGATTGGTTTTAGTGGCTGATTTAAGAGTAGCAGAATATCTCACTTCTGCTTTCATGGAGTTTATGTTATGTCTTGTATCACTGTGGGAGAATTATAATACTGCAGACAGAAATATGTTGCAACATCTTCAGATTCCAGGCTGCTGATGGTGAGAGAATAATCTGTACCAGACCCACTGCCACTGAACCTTGATGGGACACCAGATTGTAAACTGGATGTGTAGTAGATCAGGCGTTTAATAGTTCCATCTGGTTTCTGCTGATACCAGTTTAAATAATTGCTAATACCCTCAGTTGCCCTGCATCCGATGGTGATTTTGTCTCCCAGAGATGCATGCAGGGAGGATGGAGACTGGGTCATCTGGATTTCACAACTGGCATCTAGAGGTGGAGATATAATAAAGACCCACATAGTTAATCATGTGAAGAGAGGACTTCACCAAACTTCCAGTCAATACTAATCACAGTATAACAGTGAATTTCCCATTTTCGACCATTTTTACCTGGAAACCAGAGCAACAGGAGCCCAAGAAACTGAGCACAGACCCTCATGTCCATGTTGAGTTCTGACTGCAATGACAACTACACAGGTCTGACTGGTATACGAAGAAGTCCCCAAGGCTGTACAGTAAGAACATGCAAATTATTTGGAATGAGTTAGGGTTGGGCACAGTTGCAAGGCTCACTCCCCTCGGCACTTTGCATAAACCCAGGGTACCCAGATGTCTGTGGTCAAACGATATATATGGCTCCTGTGTATGCATTTCTTTGTTAAGGTTTTAAAGTTAAAGATCACATTTTGAAGGTTATTTGAAAACTTCTACTATAAATGATATCTAATTTAAATAATGCGTTCTAACTATGTATTGGGCATAGCAATGAACAATGTCCTATTCTCTGTGAATATACATCAAAGAAGAGATTATTAAATGTTTAACTCTATCTTCTGAAGAACTGCAGGTAGATCATAATTCAAGGCAGTGTACCATATAGACCATGACATGTTTCAAGGCACAGGCCAAGAAGATTTTGTACTTTTCCACCACCTGGACCCTCTTACCCCCTCCCCTTGTAAAACATGCTATAAAAAAAAGCATTTCATGTTTAAAAAAAAAAGAAATAAACTGCCCACTGCATATAAAAAAAATGTTTAACTCACTCATAATTCCAATTGGTTAAAAAATACTATGTGTTCTCCTTGTAAAGCTTTTGTAAGTTTTGTGTAGCTGTTTCTTTAAATGAAAATTATAATTTATCAGGGTTATTCTAGTGAATTAAAAAGTAAAAATTAAAAAAAATTAACAAAAGTTACTAAAATATAAATGTGTAAATACACAGTAGGTGCACATAACTTAATCCCAACAACCTGGGTCACTAGGAACTTTTACTCCACGTAAAGATGGAGGTACTTTCATTCCAATGGGTTAATCAGTTCCACCTTTTGCTCAGTTTGGGATCCTTCCATTTGTCACTTTTCTGTCATTTTTTATTGTTTACCATTTTTTCAGCATGAAGGGTTGATTAGTGAAGATAGAATTGAACACTATAATAGAAAATACTGGTAGTTGGTCCTCTGGATATCACATCCAGCATTTGGGATTGGAAGCAATACATTTCAACAAAATTAAACATAGTGAACAAAGTTGTCCCAAGTGCCCCATGCAACACTGATCACTGTGTCATGTTTATATTCCCATTGTATTCCTTGTTTGCTGAGAGAGATCTCTCATGACCATGTCCTGTCCTGCCTGGGACAGACACTTGCACACTGTGTCTCAAGTCAATTACTAAGTTCTTGGAGCAGTGTATTTTGCTTTGGCCACATTCAAACAGCAGAAAATGGAAAAATCTAGGTACAACTGTAGAATTACTTGTCTCAGTAACTCAGCATAGGCTCATGTCCCAAATCTCCCAAGCAAAACTAGGACAACACATATTTTTCAGCAGAGAAGAATTTCTTATATAAAGATCCAGTACTACTAAGGACATTTTTTGAGACTACTTTCTAAATTTATAGAGGACATAAACAATATTTGACACAATATTTAATTGCTAACGAGCAGAAATAAGGAAGAATAGCATATTTTGTGAAAAGACAAATTATGAAGTTACTAAAATCTTTAACTCTTCCACAAACTTGACTGAAAAAATGTTGTGTTCTAAGAGCAAAATGTTTCTGAGTTTAGGATAAATTATTTGCCTCAAATTAAAAAAAAATAAAACAGTTCATCTTTACCATTGTAATGAATTCAGAAGTATAATTTGAAAGTTCTAGTAACTGTTTCCAGAAGTGGAAAAATATTTCTTGTTGGAACACAGATAATATAATGTACTCTCAAAAAGGATTCATCTCAAGGGGAGGCTCCAAGGCTTGAAACTATACTGATCACACAGTGTGCTTACAGACAGGAGTGTATCATGACTGTCCTTCAAAAGGTTCAACAAGCAGCTGACTGAGACAGAATGCAGATACTTATACCCAACTAATGGACTTAAATCTGGAACTCCTGTGGTTGAGTGAGGGAAGGGCTGGAACAAGTTAAGGAGTAGGGCATCTGCATGAGACCAGCACTCTCAACTAACCTGGACCCCAGAGATTTCTCAGACACTGAGACAACAAACAGGTAGTATACACTAGCTGGTACTAGGTCCCTGATACATACCAGACAGTGGAAAACTGTCTGGTCTGGCCTAGGTAAAAGAAGAGGCACCTAACTCCTGAGAAACCTGAGGCTACAGGGAGTGGGGAGGCAGGGCAGAGTGAGGTGGGGGTGGAGACATCCTCTTGGAGATGGAGAGGAGGAATGGAATGAGGAAAACTTTGAGGGTAGACTGGGATGTGGATAATGACTGGATTGTAAAAATGATTAAAGATAAATTTTTAAAAATGTCACTCACACTACCAGTCATTTGAAAGTAAATCTTTCATAATCAGAGACTAAATAGGCTATATATTCTCCAGGTTGAGAAGAACTATATTTACATATTTATAAGTCTTGTGCTAAATTTTCCCACAATATAGTAGCATGAACGGTCATTGAGTGCTGCCAGATTTAATTACTTTAACAGAAATCACTGTTTCTCATTACATGAACATGATATGTGCTCTGAATGTAGCATTATTTTTTAGTTAGTGATTGACTGACTCCTGACCATGGCAATATCTTCAAGGCATATCCAGAAACAAAGCCTCTGTCTCATAATAAGTGGGTACAAATATCTTTGAAGAAATTTGGAAGTCTGTGTTATTTGAAGAAATATTTGATTATGAAATATCACACACACACACACACACACACACACACACACACACTCCAAAGAAGCTGGAATGATCATTCCTCAAGATCTTCTTAACAGAAGAGGAATGTTTCCGTAAGTCTGCTGAGAAAATCCAGAGACAATTTGTTAGTGGAGACCAATACCTGTTTTACTGTTTGCAAGAGTTTATCTGTCTTCTATAAGCACATACTGCCTTGATTTGTAAACTAACAGGGAGATTTGAATGAAGGCAAAGTTACAGTAAAGATCAGTTTTCTATGTATACATGTATGTGTACGTGTGTGTATGTGTGCCTTTGCCTTATATATGTCAGCCTCATTCATCATCAGAGGCATTTGAATCAGGCAGGTCTTTCAAACTATTAGAGCTTGGAGATTCTGGGGGTCTTCCATCATTTATCAATTGGAGGGTGTCTGAATAGTGACGGCAACCTAGACATGATGAGCCTTATTTTCCAGGATCTAGTCATTAAATATTTGTTAAGAAATACTTTCTCCCACTCCTATGAATAAATTGAGAATAATACACAATTAGCACTGGATTAGGAGTGCATTGTGATATCTCAACTTCTCCTTTCCTCCGTGTTGCAGCTGACAAACTTATATCATAGCTGTGCTCCTTTGAGATATACGAAGCACAGAGAAGAGCTCTGGCTGTTCACATGATAGTCCACAGAAGCTGGAATGATTATTCCTCAAGACCTTCTTAACAGAAGAGGAATGTTTCTATAAGTGTGCTCAGAAAATCCATTTTGTTAGTGGAGACCAATATCTATTTTACTGTTTGCAGGATTTTATGTGTCTTCTATAAGCATATAATGACTTGATTTGTAAAGTAACAGAGAGAGTTCAATGAAGGCAAAGTTATAGTAAAGATCAGAAAGAAGTAATGTTTTAAAGAGTGTCAGACAGCAATGCTTAAGCACATAACTCAAGGGCCTAACTATTATTTCAAGTTTCCTTATATGAGGTACAAGAAAAGGAAGAATTGGGTTGCTACAGTTTTGTTTGCTTGGTTCCTGTTTAATTTACAGACTAATTTATATAACCAATTTTTCTGTGTTTGATCCTTTCCACAGTGCATCTGATTTTAAATAAATGTGTACCTACATGTGCATAAATTGGAGACTCCTCCTAAAAGTTCACATAGTGGAGAGTTAGCATTCTTGTACATACACACACAACAGATGGTCCAGCCCATCTCTCTTGGCCTCAGGTTGTGTTCTGAGGTATGTCTTAATAAAACTTCAGTATAACCAAGGGTTTTATAAGGGTAATAAATTCTTTCAACTGTTTATGTACCTGATACAAGTGGAGAGTTTCACGATAGAGGAACGAACTAGAGAAAACCTGGACATTAGCCTTGCAGGGAATCAAATATGGGAAGAAGGATTGGATGCAGTTTCAGTCCCATTCTCAGCTTTAATCTGACCCCTCAGCAATAAACATCTCCCAGGTCTGTTCACAGAGGCAAGGAAATTTTCTTTCATGAAGCTTATTTTCTGTGGGAGTGATATGCAGTAATATCACTATGGTAGGTTAATAATTGTCATGCTCACCTTGTCAGGATTAGTAATAATGTTATTTCACAATAATAATAATTTGACATAATAATTTAGTAATAATGCATATATAATAGGAATAATTTCAATTTCTATTGCTTTCTCAATTCCATGTTCCCATTTATTCTTGCATGGTACCATTTGCTGGCCTTCTTTTGATTTATACAATGAAAATCAGTAAGAACAAATGCCCTAAGGAGAAGAGGCCTTGCAGTACCAGGTATAACTTCAAGATGCATATCTCTGAGATTCTCACAATGGCTGGAGTATCTGGCCTAGTTCAGCACCCATTAGTATTAATAGCATTAGTTCTCTCTCCGATTCTTTGGTGAGAAGTATCTTATCACATTTTCACACAGGTTAGCAGCATGACACAGGAAAGAAGGTCTTTCCTGTATAGCTCAGTAATAGTCTAGCAGTTCAGGCTGAACCTTAGCTTTTTGTAACGTTTCATCCTAAAAAATATCCCATGTACACCTGTGCCTAAACATCTGTGTTGGATTTAAATGCACTTGCCATGTATGATTCCACTATCACTGTAGGCACACCTGCCTCTTAAATAATGAAAATTTGATTTAACTGTTTATCCTCAAATGTTTAATTGTTTTGTTTTTTTTTCAGATGTTAAAAGCATGACATTCTATTGGCAATGATTATCTACGTGACACTTTTGTGTATCATGAAATTTAATGTTTAGGAAATCTCTATTATCTGACTGCACAATAATCAGCTTCCTCCTTTTGCGTACTAATAATCATGTACTTTCTTGTATGGGGGCTT